TTTTTTTTTTATATGCAAGAATTCGAGAGGTGCTAAATAGAATTTTGCATGGACCCTTTATGCGTGCCAATATTAAGAATATTATAAACTATTTTTTCTAGAATTATTATAGTGTAATAAACAATATATTTTTTATCTTACAGCTTATTAATAACTTTTTTATTTAATTATAAAATATTATTTGCAGACCGCTCGTGCCAGGAAAGAAAAAAACATAAAAATTTCCAAATAATTTGAAAGAGGAAGTAATTTATAATATTTTTAATTTTACTTATATATCAATAGCGGCCCTGTTCGGATCGCACCTATTTCTATCCATTTCTAGAGAGAGAGAGAGAACGGGCGAGCAGCCCTCTTTCTTGACCGCTTCCGCTTTCTGTTAGCCGATAAATTTAACATTACTCTTATCTCCCTTTCTCGTTGTTTTCGGACGCTCCCCGCACACTTGCGCGAAAGTACTTGTGCGGTTTCGCGCGAGGAGATATGACCCCGCCCGAACGTGAACGGCGCCGACGGCACGTATCTCGCGCATTATCGGATTCGCAACAATTTAATTTGTGCCCTTTTAATTGTTCACAGAACTTCCTCAGTTTATTCCGACCCACGCCGTCGTGGAGGGCGGCCGAGCAGGATACGCTGGATAATGATAGTGTCGACACCGCAGTAGTCAATCCGGCATACGTTCCCCCAGATAGATTCTGAATTCAATCACCTGGTATACGCGATGAGCGACAATTTGAAGAAGTATACAGGGTCCCAAAAACACTGTTCTCTAATATGTATAAGGCGTATTTTTAAAGAAAATACTCATTTCGTTTTAGGAATAAGTTATTTTCACCTGAGAATAGAATGTCAATAAGTTAATATAGCAAAATACAGAATGTAATCAAAAAATAATTTTGCATTGCGCAATGATATTTTTCGATAAAACTCTGTGAATTTAGCTTAATTTTCATCCTCAGAATTATTTAATAGCTACAAAACATTTGTATTTTGATGTAAAAAAAATATGCGTATTTTTGATGCCCCATATTTATCGAGAAATGTTTCAATCTATATAAAAATATGTTTGCTAAAATATTTATACAAAATTGAAAGAAATGAATTAATATATTCTCAAATACAAAAATATAGGCGGTAATATTTTATTTCATAATTTTAAATTTAATTATATGGCTGTACAGTGAGAACGAGAAAAACATTTCTGATATACACATAATTTATCGTATGATATTAGAAATATGAAATAACATGTGCATGAAATAAAATTTTTAATACATATATATATATTAAAGAACACACGTAATGTATTCATTAATTTTTTTGAAAAATTTCTGCTTTAATCGATTTTCGTCTTCTCTCTCAAGTTTTTTTTCAATTAACGCAACTCGACGCTGATGGTTTATTGCTTTCAGAAAAATTTTCTTCTAACGTATTAAGTAAGGGAATAATTTTTACAGCATTTACATTTCGCCTATATTGATTTTCGAAACAATTTAATATTCATAGCGTGTGTAATACACTTGTAATAAGCAGTATCTATAGTCATGTTACAGATAATAAGTATATTACTAAAAAAATATAGGTAATTGAGAATGTAAGATAATTTGCGTAGAGGGAAAGAGATGCGGTCGTTCACTGTCGCTTGAGTCAACAAAGCAACGTTAGAAAAGCGGAGAGTATTCCACTGTTTCGCGCTGTCCTTCCGGCTAATTAATGTTCAGCGAACATGGCTACTACTCGGGATTCCGTGTCTCTGCACGTTGTAATATCAGACGAGGTGGCGGCGGCGGTCCCGCTTATAAGCCGCCTTATGGGGCTGCGAGGCGGACGACGCGACGAATACGCGTCCGTCTCTAATGAAAATTACAAGCGGTTGGCGTCGCGCCGTACCGTATGCCGATCGATGCCGTGGGGATTTGATGCCGCTGTGAGACGCGGTGGTTATGGCAACGTGTGGAAAGTGTGCCAAAAAAAAAAGATTCGCGTAACTTCGGAATGACGCTTTAATCGGCGGTGGCAACAATGACTGTCGTCAAAGACGCGAAAAGCCAGAATCTCGGAATGCCATTAATAATTGAGCAACACGCGGAGCGAGAGCGCGTGGATATAAATATAGCATAGAATTTAAATTTTGATAAGATTCAAGATCCACCGTTGATCCGAATTCGAGAATGCGCTTCTTAGAAGTACCGATACATGTACGTGCGCACGATCGGAAATTAGAAATGGCGAGCGCTCGATATAAATCAGGAAATATAATTTTCTCCAAATATATTCAGTCCAAAATCTGAATAGGCAAGACCTTCGAAATCGGGACACAGTATGCTAACGTATGGAAAATCCATCTTTGCAAAAAAAAAATGCGAGATATGCAAATGGAGCGTTATCCTGGAAATGCATTATCGCGAATTGTCACCGCGGATTTAAAAGTTCTCTCGCCTTTAGACCGTTGAGACCCTTCCCGCGTCGACTAATTTCGAAATCATATTTTTTTCTCTCTCCGGATTTTTAGCGTGCGTGGCTCCGCGCTGGATTTAGAAGAGAGAGATAGAGAGAGACGGGGACGAGGGATAATTCAAGGCGACGATCGTTTCGACACGACGAATTTCCGTTGCGCGGCGTGTCCATCATGGCATTTTTTAATTTCGGCGTTATTATTTTTCAGAGTGTTCGTGTCACATTATATCCAGTGTGTTATCGCGGCGGTGATTGATGCGACTAGATTCGATGCAGATTACATTGTATAATATTCTATCGATCCCCGCCGTACTTTTTATCTCGTCGGGCGATTATACGAACGAGCGTTATTATTCGCGACGTAAGTACGAACACATCGGGTGACCGCCGAAGTTCTTGCGCCGTTTCTCGCACTTCTCGTGGAGAAGCGAGCACGAAAATTCATATCGAAACTAATTGTATTCAACGAGGTAATTTCCATTTGATTCAATTATCCACCGCCGTCTTTTGATTCTTCTAAATACCACTTCTGTAGAAGTCCTTTTTCGGGACAAAAGAAAGTTTCCTATAATAATCTGCGCTTCCCCATCGCTCTTGAAACCTCGTCCATGCAGATTATTGTCAAGGGCCACAGAAATAAATGAATAGGACGGCTGACACAAAGTTTCTCATTTAAGACGTCGGATTGTTCCTGGTAACTTTGACAGGATGTGGGAATAATACTTTACGACCGCCGCTTCCTTCTTTTTCGATGTCTCACGAATTCCGAGAATTCGGAAGATATTACATATATGAATGCAGTTTATTTATAATCCAAGTCCAGGTAACAATTTAAAGTGGACATGAATTCCACATGCAATAGTAGAAGATTCTGATTATCCTTAGGTATTAGGACGAATGAAACTTCGGCCAATAAGTCCCAGAGCGCCCGGCGATTAGTTCTTTAAATCTCATTAGCTATCGCGCACACTTTGCCTGCTCCTTTCCTCTCGCATTCGCTCACGTTCGCACGTTCGGCCCCGAAGTTAATTAAGTCGGTCCGAGAATGAGGGGGAATATCGACGGGCGCGGGTATCAACTTACTTCCGAATCCGGTTTTACTTTTTTCGTGAAACCGGAGCGAACCACGTGCAACGACAACGACGACGATGCACCCGTCGCGGCGCCCGTACTTTGTTATTAAGAATATCACAGCGCGGATCAGATAATTATCGGCTGGAAATAATGGCGGGCGCAGAGATAGATTCGGCGGAACAATTACGTCAGTGTATAGAACGACGTTCCCGGCCGCGCCGACAATGAACGAGCTCATTATACGGCAACCGCGCTAACGATACGCGAATTCGTAGCCGTTTCTTTTTATTCAGTCACATTTACTCCCGGCGGAATTGCTGTTAAATGTTCTTAGAGCTTATTTCTCCCTTTAAATCGAGTAATAAGTCGACGAACCGACCAATGTTGCACGCGTCCGCTTTCTGAGCATTGTATTTCTGAAACGCGAAAAAAACACAAAGAAAGAATTAATCCAATGAAAAACGCAAAATATTCGAAACGAAAATACTAAAAGTTTCAAACTTATAGTCGTTCTTATTTTCTGTCACAGAACGCTAAGATTTTATGACTATTAAATAGATATTATTTATTATATCCCATTTTCTAAACAATTTTTGCATTTCTTACAAGACATAAAATATTATATAAAATTATTTGAGATAAAAAAGGTAAATTATTTAAAATTAAGTTATTATCATAACTAAATAAACGCATAATTTATTGTAGGGCGATGTTTGTAATTGTTTCTTAGTAAATAAAAATTTCCTATTTATATGTACATATATATGCGCATTCCGTCCAAGGATGGACTGAGAATATCGCCGGTAGACTGAAGGAATTTAACATCAAGCTCCAATCATCTTTGTGGACGTAACAGAAGTTTACAGACCGCCCTTTTCTGTCGTCGCTGAACTCTGCGCAAACACGCGTCGCACCCTCGGCCGGACTTGCCGGCGGTAAAAACAAGCTCGCCCTCCTTCGCTACAAATGCAGGCATAATGGAATTATATGGATCCGTGGAGCGGATTTAAATTTTCAAGCGCAGCGTTACGCACGCGCGGGCGCGCGGACGGATCCGGGTGTTCGGATCTGTTTTATAATCCGTGCTATTAAAGTCGCCCTCCCCTTCCCCCCCCCCTCCCCCACTCCCTCGTAGCATTTGCATTCTCCTGCTCGCGTGCCTCCGCTTCCGGCAATTTTTGGCCGGAACGGGTCGAGCAGAGGCGTGACGGGCGGAACATGAAATTCATGAGAGTGCTTCTACGCCGGGCGGGCGCGTGCTCCCCGTCCGAGCTTCGGCCAATTATTGTCGCGAGAAAAGGCTGATACGGGATGTGTATCGGGTCCATTCCCTATTACTTTCTTCCTTTTTTCTCCAGGAAAATACAAATGCCACGGAAATACCGATGCAAGATCGATATAGAGGCGAGGCCGCGCCGTGACGGATCAACAACGATTCCGCTCGACGATCGTCTCTGCTTTTGTTTTGTCCATTGCTCGTGGTTCCACCGACCCGATGGGCGCCGCAAACTTTGCTCCAATTCGTTCTTGTTTTTGGCCCCGCGGCAATGGCACCGCCGTTATTGACTTCAATAATCAGAGTGATTTATCGTAAGCTAAACGAGCGTGTGTTCGATCATAAAAATTAGCAATTTGCTTTCTCATAAAATATACATATATTATACAAGGTATTCCAGAATCATGGAACTTTTTCTACTTGTATGCTCTTTTGACAAGAGCGAAGCTCATTTTTCTCGGTAAAAACTTTCCAAGAGATTATCGTTTGTATTAAATTTTCAATACTAATAATTTGAATAATTAAGTCTCAATTTAGCTGTAAAGGACCGAAATGAAAATTGATTGATCAGAAAGTTTCATAATTTAATTACATCCCCAAGACGTACCCTCTTTAAGATTTAGTTAAGCCTTATCGAATCCGAGTTTATAAAAATATTTAATGCGGAAAAGTTTCGGTTCTTTCTGCGCACAATATTAATTTGTAAGAATTTGCGGGACATGGCAATTTCTACTCTTTCATATCTTAACTCTTTCTTTTGCTAACTAAATTCAAAATAAATTCACAGAAGTAGCTAAATTCAAGATAAATTCTCAACTAAATTGAATTCATAATAAATTCAACTAAATTGTAGCAAATATTATTTCCAAGTTCAAAATATACCTGACAAACACACACACACAAACACGTCAGATTCATACTATATAATAACTAAATAATTTTGAAATTACGAATGTTCTGAAAAATGATGCCTTCGATGAAATTTTCATTAACCCGAGAGTTGTCGGACGGAGTTACAATTTACATCCCAATGGCTCAATATTGAGGACATATTTCCGCCATTCCGTTCATATTTATTGAAATTATCAATAACTTTCCACTTAATTAAACAAATTGAATTATTATCTGGGCATATTATACAAATGCCTCTTCGATGTTGGCGGAAAGGAGATATTTCGTACACAGTGGCAAAATCGTAACAATATACAAATGAAATGTCAAAAAAGATTGAATAATTTGTGCGCCATTACAAATTTTGCTTCATCTTAATTCCATAAAATATACCTTCATTTCATATCAATATTAAGATTAAGCAGCAAAATACGGCAGATATGAATCAAATCATTGGATAAATTGCAAGATAATTATATTTTCTAATAATTAATAAAGTATAAAGAACGAGAATAATCTCTCTCTAAAATAATCAATGAAACACAAAGAAAAATTAGAATTTAGTTCAACCCGATTAAAAAAGACGCGTACAAGAATC